TGCCTGTGCAAGCCAGGCAGATGTGCACAGGTAGAAATTCTGCAATGTGCGGTAGAGAACTGATAGGAAACTTTGGTTTTATCATGATTTTTTATCATACACGAAGAAAAAACAAAATCCGCTTGGAAACAGTTGATTTTATTTCAGCTTATCTTCAATTGTGAGAGAAGTATTGATAATCATCCTCAGAGGCATGATAATGAGCAGATGGTACAAACTGATGCTGAGAGAGTCTTCCTCTTTCTGTGTATGGCTGTTGCAGTCATTGTGCCGGTATTGAGGTATGTCTTTGAGGAGCAATCTTGGAGTGGTGTCTCTGCCATCCTTTATGCATGTAGCCAAGAAGTTTTTTCAGGTTCAAAACATGTACAAACTAGCAAGTTTAGTATTTGCTCTTAGCACTTTTCATGACTTTCATTGACGGATTAAAATTTTTTATCTTGTTGTAATGTCTGTAAATGAAAAAATAGGAGTGATCTTGGCACAGGGTAAATATGAATTCTGAGCAGAAATAGCTATTTCTGATGGAGAAAAAACCTGATTTGTGAATTTATTTTGGAGCATGAGGAGGTAAGATGTCTTCAGCATAGCCTGTGCCACCGAACCTGTGGGAGAGGGTGGATCTGCTTGGCACACAGCGCTGTGTGAACTGTGTGATACTACGGGTAGAGAACCACATCCTGGGGCTGAACCTTCGCAGCAGCCAGCAGACCACACACCCCGCCGATTGTCAAATAGCAGGTACCCCCCCTTAGCCTGCTTCAATTACCAGTATTTAGTTTATTTAGTTGAACAGCGTTTCGCAGACATGCAGTGCCCTGAAGTGATGAATGAAGATACTCCCATAAAAATAATAAAGGATTTATTTATTAGGGTGAGATAGGAGAATATGTGAGAGGGTGTTGGCAGAGGGAAACGGGCCCCTCCCTCCTGTCACTTCTGTTCTAAAGTTACCAAGTACAAGAGGTGCTCGCTCACTACCGCAATGTGCGGTAGAGAACTGATAGGAAACTTTGGTTTTATCATGATTTTTTATCATACACGAAGAAAAAACAAAATCCGCTTGGAAACAGTTGATTTTATTTCAGCTTATCTTCAATTGTGAGAGAAGTATTGATAATCATCCTCAGAGGCATGATAATGAGCAGATGGTACAAACTGATGCTGAGAGAGTCTTCCTCTTTCTGTGTATGGCTGTTGCAGTCATTGTGCCGGTATTGAGGTATGTCTTTGAGGAGCAATCTTGGAGTGGTGTCTCTGCCATCCTTTATGCATGTAGCCAAGAAGTTTTTTCAGGTTCAAAACATGTACAAACTAGCAAGTTTAGTATTTGCTCTTAGCACTTTTCATGACTTTCATTGACGGATTAAAATTTTTTATCTTGTTGTAATGTCTGTAAATGAAAAAATAGGAGTGATCTTGGCACAGGGTAAATATGAATTCTGAGCAGAAATAGCTATTTCTGATGGAGAAAAAACCTGATTTGTGAATTTATTTTGGAGCATGAGGAGGTAAGATGTCTTCAGCATAGCCTGTGCCACCGAACCTGTGGGAGAGGGTGGATCTGCTTGGCACACAGCGCTGTGTGAACTGTGTGATACTACGGGTAGTATCACAGCCCCCACATCCTGGGGCTGAACCTTCGCAGCAGCCAGCAGACCACACACCCCGCCGATTGTCAAATAGCAGGTACCCCCCCTTAGCCTGCTTCAATTACCAGTATTTAGTTTATTTAGTTGAACAGCGTTTCGCAGACATGCAGTGCCCTGAAGTGATGAATGAAGATACTCCCATAAAAATAATAAAGGATTTATTTATTAGGGTGAGATAGGAGAATATGTGAGAGGGTGTTGGCAGAGGGAAACGGGCCCCTCCCTCCTGTCACTTCTGTTCTAAAGTTACCAAGTACAAGAGGTGCTCGCTCACTACCTCTGCTGGTTGTGACTCTGTGGCCTTGCTAGGTATATTAAAGTGGCATCTGTCCCCTCTTTGAGTTGTTTGTGTTGACTTTTTACAATAGAGATAATTTTTTGAGATGGCATGCTGCAAAATTAAACTGTGTGAGAGTTTTATTGCTGATTTCTGCACGACCAGGATTTTTTTGTATCTTGAGGCAGTTGTGGAGTGAGCTTTCTCTCCTGACATTGTGTGTGGAGGCAGGATTTCCATTTGCTGGGTTTAGCTCTTTCCCTGAAGAATTGCTACGCTCTGTCAGTGGCAGAGAAAATGGTCCATTTTGAAGCCTTACACCACAATATTAGCATAAATAACCCACTGCACAGTAACTGCAGCATTGTCATTTGTTCAGAGCGAGGTTGAGGTGGCTTCTGGGTAGATAGCTCTGCGGTATTGCTAAAGGCTAGGGCAGGTTTATGAGGTGATGCATAGTTTAAAAGTGTGAGATGTTTATGAGCTTTTTGAAGCAGATTTATGCTACCCTTCCTGGGTCCTGACTCAAGGTTTTGAACAGCAGAACAGCGTCTCCTTACAAAAGGATGACCGGGAACTCCACCAGGCTTGGGGGAGAGAGGCTGAAACGTGTGAGCACAACAACTTTTCTGTGCAAACGTGTGTGTTTGAAGTCTTTCGGCAGCCTGCAACCTGTGCTGGTGCTTCCCAGGGGCACCACACGCCTTTGCAAGAGATTCCAGGTCCAGCTGAATAACTTTGCTCTTTGAAGAATAAATAGACCAAACCCTGCTTCTTGTTCCTGGAGCAAGTGGAATTGCAAGAATTGTAGGGAAGCTCTTCCAGGTGGTCAGTTGACAAGGGAGGAGCTGGTACTTAGTGTGACTGCAAGACTTCTGGATGTCAGAGGAGCTGGTTAGGTTTGTCTGAGGTGTGATGCGCTGGGAAGGGTGTGAAAGAATTAACTTAATGCAGAAGAAAACCCTGGCCCCATACCTTTCCCCGCCAGTTCAAAGTGAACCAAAAGCTAGGAATCTAGTGTTGCTTTTGAAAAAGTGTATTGGTCAGCAAACTTTCCCCTGGGTGCCTTATGTGGGTTTTTTTGTTCTAATATCAGTAATCTGGTGGAGTGAGGAAACAATTTTACAATATAAATAATTTTTTCAAAGCTTGCAAAATAATTACAAAGTTATACAGATGCATATTGTGGAAGTGTTTTCATCTCTGTATGCCACTGTGCTTTCACAGCTGGAATTATTTAGATTTACGTAGGCAAATACCAAGCCATACCGTGTAAGGAACTAAATGTTTTTGCCATAAATGACAAAAAATCTCCCACAAAGCAATGGATTCCCTTCCCCTGCAGACTATTTCCCTTGCTTGGAGGGAAGAGCCTGCAAAGTCTCAGTTTGACAGGAGGCAGGGAGCTCTGAAAGAACCATATAAATAATCTTTTATGTATTTGTTTTAAAAAACCATGACTGAAACGCGACTTTCTCCTGTACTCCCTAAAGGCTGGTTCGGGCTGAGGATCCCCCCAGCCCCTGCTCCCAGCTGAACATCCAGGCTCCCCCCAGTGCTGGGCACCGTCTGCTCTCAGTTTGGGGTGGGAAAGCTCTTCAGTCAAGTGGGAAATAAATGGAGGCAAATAGACTCTACAAAGGTGTGTTTAAACTCAGCAGGCAGTTTAGAGCTGTCCAGTCCCTTGGTTTAAATATAATCCTGTGTGATGGTGGAATACTGGTACTGTAGGTTGGTGGTCTCAGACCAAGAGAAGTTACCCACAGCCTTGGAGAAGGTTCAAAGACCATATATTTAAAATACTTTCACCCTGACAGATTATCTGTTAAGACTAAAATGAAACACAGTGGCAGAAAGGTGAAGCACATGTTATTTCTGTTCCTATATCTTCTTTGTTAAGTACAATGAAAGCATTCAGCTTCCAGAGCCATTGCCTGAAAGCTTTTGTGGGTACTTTATGCATGGTGTGTTTTCCCTGTACAGTGATAAAGTCAATCAATCAATAAAAAAAAAAAAAGCTGCTGAAAACCTGAAAAATACAGTTAAAAAAAGAGATTATATTTATATATATAAGGTTGATGGCTTTCAGCTATTACCTTTGTACAGAGCGAAATGCTTTATCATCATGCCAAAAGCAGAGGAAAACCCAACAAATCATTCTTTCTGGATTTATATATACCCCAGAATTTCTAGACTCTGTATGTGTGTGTTTTCAAATGGCTTCTTGAGTGTTCTGACGTACTTCTGCAACAAAGTTACAAAATCTCAGTCAGCTTGGTATCAACATTTTTGGTGTACACCATGTTATTTCAGAGGAGTCCTGAGGAATATGGTGCAGCGTAACTGTGCTATTTATTTTGTAGAAGGATCCTCTTTAAACAATTGCTTATCTTGAGCAACACATTTTGTAAAAGTATTCTAACATTTGGTGTCTAAGGGAGACAAATAATCAAGTTTAATTCTTAATTTTATAGACTGTTTCCATTAAGAAATCTTATATATATGCATTTTTAAAAAAATAAATATATAAATATTTCTATACATTTTACTAAAGGTTTTTCAGGCTCTGTGCACATCTTTAAGGATTTGATCTGTATTTTTTTTTTCCTTTTTAAATCTTCTTTTCCCCTGCATTGTTAGAATAGAATCCTTCTTTAAGCTGCCTATCGCCTTCAGTGCCTTGCTTTGTGAGCTGTTAAAAACAAGAGAAGTTTTCCCCTGAGGGTCTCAGTCCTCTTTTATGGGCTGCTGGAGGCCAAGTCAGAGAGACTTGTGCTGAACTTCCCCATGTTGCTTCTGAGGACTCTCCTGCAGTTGCGGTGGAGCGACTGAGAGTGTTTCAGGCCCTCCAGGCTGGTTTGATCATTGTGTGTGTCGTGCCTGGCTTCGTGAGAAACAACAGCAACTCAGCTTCATTATTGAGTCTGTTGGCTAATGAGCTCAGAGACCCACAGCCTGGAGCTCCAGAATGTGTTGTTCCAGTTATCCCTCTCTTTTTGAGATCCAGATAGGTCATATTCCACTAGAATGCGATCATAGCATCAGCTGAAATAGCACACAGTAAATATATTGTCAATTTGCAATAATGTTTTTGTATAGAGAAACGCTACTTGGTATTTTAAGCTGAAACCTTTCTTCTCTTTTATTGCCGGTTCTCATCTGTTCAGTTTCTTTGAGACATTTGCATTCTTAAATAACTTGCCTAAGTGTGTTATTTTACAGACCCGAACTTATACTATATTTATACTTTCCGGAAGTGTATTTGATTTTCTGGATTTAGAAACTTCAACGTCCCTTGGAGTTTTCAGCTTGAGATGCAGTTTTTGGTACAGCTTTTCTTTAAAGGGTAGGCAGAGGAAAAAATAAATAATGGGATCAAGGCACACGTTTGCAGCAGACAGTGCAAGAGTAAACTCCTTTGAGTAGAACAGAGTTTCTTTTAACTGGCAGTTGAATTGTGAGCTAGTTTGACTTAGAGTGTATGGTATTCTGCAGATGTGATAGGGTACAAAGCAAATGACAAATACAAACATGATACTGAATATATTACGGCTGATTTTTCTCTTGGTCACATCTGAGTTCCTTCTGAATTTTTTATAAGAGCTATATATTTTTTTTGATATAGAAGTGTAAAAAATAATTAGCAGAAGAAAAACAATCCAGAAAATCCCTATGGAAATATAATTTGATACCTTGTGCCACTGCTTGCCAAGCTCATTTTTAAGACCTATACATTTTCTGGAATGATTTTCCTCAGCGATTTCATTAGTTAAAAGCATATTTGGAAATGATAAAAGCATTAACAGCAGCCATATGATTATAGAGATCACCTTACTGTAGTTAACTGTGTGAACAAAGGAGGTGAATAAAGGCTTTACAATTTTGTAGTATCTGTCAAAACCTATGAGGCCAAAAAATGTTATCCCAATATACATGTTTGTATAAAAAACAACAGCAGAGTATCTGCACACAAACGTATTGAGTTGTGGAGGTGCGATTTCTGAATCGGCAAGAATTTTGAAAGGAAATGTCAAGCTCATTAGGAGATCGGCAACAACAATGTTTTTGAGATAGACAATAAAACTCTTATTGCTAGGAACATACAGAAAGATCCATGCTGCCACACTGTTCAGCAACAGTCCTACTATGAAAATTAAGAAGTAGACCAGGGGAATGACTGTCTTAATTATTACTGTGCTGTTATTGCAGTTGTTTCCCGAGGAGTTTGTGCTGGAGTTGAACATCTTACAATATCTTTGTTCCTAGAAGCAGAGAAAGATTATCTCAGTGAGATAAAATGGTGCTAGGCTTTCCATTAATTAGTTTAAGATTTCTACTCTTACTTCAAAATGAACTTGGCATACTTCTCAGAAACCACCACATTTCCACACCATACTATTTCTAGCAGGAATGCCTAGTTAGTGTTTTCCAAGTGGTGCCATCTCACTTCTTGATGATGTTCAAGGGCATACTGCTGTTTTGAACAGAGAATCCGTTTGCTTCTCTGTTTGACTTTAATGCATTGTCTTCAAGTTCTGGGCTGCCCCTTTTCTGTTGGTATAAGCCTACGTGCTTCAACTAGGATGGGGAATGAGCCACAGTGATTTTGTGACTTAAGGCACGTCTCATTAACTCTTAACGACCAGTATGTATTTTTAGCACTGGCTTACTAGGAAATATGTGAGGGATGTGTTCGTTGTACAAGCGTTCTGTTTTGCTTACAGGCATAGAAAACACTCTTGCATTAGTCAAGCATGCAAATATCTAGTGTATGCCAATGTTTTCTAATGTTCACTTGAAAGGAAGCCTTATGTGCAGCTAGCAGAGTTTGCTTTAAACTTTTACTTGTAGTAGCACGATATATAGGAGCATGCCTGTGTGTTAGTGTAGTGTAGAATGTGGAACTGTCCTCTTGAGTCATCCAGATTTAAATTTTAGAGGATCTCCAAGAAGAAAATGCATCTGCTGTCTGTGTTTCTTTGACAGAATGTTTACGGGGGTGGATTATCCTCTGTAGGGAGGGCAGAACAGATATAGATACAATGCTGCTGTATTTGGCAAATGAAAACCTAGGCAACTGGAAAACACGTGCCATGGAGCTGGGAAAAAACCCTACTCTGTCTTTTAGAAAATAAAGAATTTCCTTATTGCTACAATTCAGAGTCAGTAGCTGATGCCTCTCTGTAGCAGACTGGAAGCTGAATGCGACCTTGCAATAACTACAAATGGTAATTTTCTCTCAAATAGGTAAAATTGTTTCCTTTGATATGTTGTTTTCTGTGTCTCTTTTGCAGACACTGTAAAGGCTGACCAGCTTAGATGCTGTTTCTGGAACATGCATGGATAAGCAGGGGGCAATGGAGCAGGTATTGCCCGTATTCACACCCAAAGCCTGGAGTTAATCTCTTCCTGGTAGCTCTCCCATATGAAGACCTGCCATCCTATCTCTATGTTTAAACTCCAGTCATCAAGGAATTTGTTTTTGTTTGATTGGGTTTTTTAAAGTAAAAGGATGGTGTGGAGAATGGGTGTTATAACTATCATGTGAATAGGTATGTTAGGATTAGGAGGTGATAATGGGTAAGGTTTGGGGTGACACTGGTACCACTAAGAGGATCTCCCCTTTTCTCTCTGTATCTTTCAACCATCCACTCAAACAACTGGAAAGTACCAATAATGAACGGTATTTTTATTTAAGATGGTAACATACTATTTAGAAACTGTTCTTTTCCCACTGCTGTACACTGTGTACATGTTCTCTTCCTCCTGGCAGACTGTCTAAGCGGGACCTTCTCTCTGCATGTGGTGTGTTTAGGAGTTGTTCCTTTTCTGTAGGATTTCCTAAAACAAAGTATGTAGAGGTGGCTCTTTCTATGCTTTGACTTAGTAGCAGATATTCCTAAACATAGGAAGTTTATGAAATATTTCTTGCGCTTGCATCATACAACAAAGGGTTATTTCAGAAGTGCATGACTAGAGGTGTGGATTTTAAAACTTTGTAAAGTCTATGGTGTCTATACAGCATGGAAGACACCCTAGACAAATTTTACCTGCAGATTTATCAACTGGCTGTGGTTGAGAGAGAGGCCAAAGTCCAAGCTAGACTCTAAATCTTTCAATATCAATGGCATGACCCCTTACCTTTCTTGATTTGAGTGCTGTGGTGCTTTTTGTTAAGGGTCTAGAGTGCCTTCCATTCTCAGGCACGGTGCTCCTCCTCTTGCTGGGAGACCTGTGTGAGAGATGGGAAAATACTGTTGTTAGAGTTGTGTATCATAACGTAGGACAGTGTAATTCTGTGATGCTGAGGGGTTGCCACAGTGCAACGCCTGTTTACACTGTCTAATCATCAGTACTGCAGGCAAGTCTTCAGGTCTTTTCAGGAGGACTTCAAAATTGGTTAGGGACAGAGTCATAGAGCAGTTATGTTCAACCTAAAGCCCATCACTGCATGGGTAAGTCTAGAGGCTTGTGGGATTCCTCCGGTTATGCATCACATCATTTGTGTTCATGATTAATTTTATCTGCTATTTTTGTCACCTAGTCACACACTCGGCTCTTTTGAAAGGCCTTGTCCTAGTGCTCTGAATAATTCAACACTGGTAGTGAACAGTCATTTTGCTAGCCTGTTCCCTCCATCAGTCATGGGTCCCAGGGTGGATCCTGTAGGAGCTATGGCAATGTGGTACCACGAGGTGTAACTCCTGAGCTCTGGTAAAGAATCAGTCTGTCAGGGTGGACTTAGTGAAGCTGCTTAGTGCTTCTGGATCCACATAGCAACAGGCACCGCGATGGCTGCACTCCTCTGCTGATTCGTGTATTGCAGAGATGGTTTGCATGGAGTTGGCAGAAGGCATGCTTCCACTTTATAGAGGAGCTGCCCTTTCGTGTTTGTTTTGGTTGCATTCTTGTTGAAGCACCCCTTAAACCTTCATAATGAGAACATCATCTTCTCTCATGAGAACCCGAGAACTTGCAGCGATGCCACCAAGTAGTATGTGGATTGAGATGAGCATATTTAATTCTCGTTCCATATTGGGATTCATCTGGAAACTGAATACTGCTCATTTGATGTTTATTGCTGGGTCAATGTAGGATTTTTATGTCCAAGTGCTACTTGAAGTGATAAGTGATGCTTAAGGATTATTTGGATTATTTTTTCTTTTTTTCTTTTCCCCAATTCTTAAAATATTAGTTTGCCTTTTTTTTTTTTTCCTTGCTGTTGCATAACTGCTGCTGTTTGCTGGTGTGTTACAAGATGATGGCTTAGCACCTGGCAATTTGTGACTTGTGTGTGAGAATAACCTTTTGACCTTGAGCAGCATTTCCTGTTCAAATGCATGGTCTGGCATACAGTATATTCATTCTTTGTAAATAATAGCAACTAGTTGTGCAAAAACCAGCAAACTTGATTCATGAAACTAACAAGATTCATTTGGTAAGGTATATAAAAGTTTTAAACTTTCCCAATTTGCCTTGGCAAGATACACAAAAAGAAAGTTGCATAAACCACTAAAAATGCTTAGTTCCTTCTGTATTCAAACACTTATGCTATAATTTGCAACCCTTCCAATATCATTAAGGCACTTTTTCTTGAATTCTGTAACTTGGCTGTCAAATGTCAAAGTTCGTGGCTGCTTTACTGAACATAAGAATAATATTTACAAGTTTGTTTTGTTTTGTTTTTTTTTTTTCACTCTGAATATAACAAAGGTTCTGTAGTACTGAGTGCACATTTTAGGCTATTTATGGAAATTAATGTAGCTGCTTGATAAATGTGCAGTGCAGTTACTGGGTCAGGGATTAATGACAGTGGTCACTGTCCCCAGAAACCATTTTTGAACTGCAAAATGGAGTTTATCAGGGAAGATGATCACACCAAATGTTATCTCTGATGCTTTGAGAATCCGGAGAGGGCGGAAGCGCAATACACAAAACACAGGAGTTATGAATTGTGCTGAGTTGAGCTAAAAGAAGAATCTCTTTTTAAAAAGATTTAATTTCTAATGAGGTACGAATACAGGGGGTGGTCTGAACTTGCAGCCCCAGCCACACTGGTGTGATTCAGTCGGAAGGCAGCCCCCAGTGTGGACGTGTTTCCCCCCACGATGTGAACTGCCTGCCCCGCTCCCCGGATCTCCTGCTCTGAGCTGGCTGGAAGGCTGCTGCGCGTCTCCTGTGGGGCTTAAAAGGCTGGACATGGTCACTTGTTCATTAGGAGCTGGACCAGTGCAGGGAAAGAAAAGCAGGGCTAGCTGGGATTTGCAGGTGGTGGGATCCTGTCTCTCTGGAAGTGCTCTGCTGGGTGGGAGCTGGCAGGAGCTCTCCAGGGGAAAGCCCTCTCCTCCGGCTGCCCAGGCGTGGTGTGTTGTTGGGCTGAGCTGCTCCTTCCTGCATCTCCACGAAGGTGCCTGACCTGGCAGCTGGTAGGTGGGGTAGGTACCAGGGTGGAGACGTTCAGGGTCCGTGGTTGTAATTGCCGGTCTCTTTGGAAGGCATTTTTTGCCGTGACTGTGGAGATATGTTGGTACATTTGACTTCTTGTCAGTTTGCCAAGTGACTAAAATTTTGTTATTTTTCTGTTCTTATTATAACATTTGTCATAAGGCTATGTCTGGATTTTAATGCTTAAGAGAATAAAAGTATGTAAACTACACTCTGTACTATTTCAGCTCTTTGAAATGGCCTATCGGGCAGTAGCTGTTCCTTGTCAAAGATGCATAGAATGTAGTGGAGGAAAATGGGACGAACGGTTGAGTGAATTCTTATTATAACATTTGTCATAAGGCTATGTCTGGATTTTAATGCTTAAGAGAATAAAAGTATGTAAACTACACTATGTACTATTTCAGCTCTTTGAAATGGCCTATCGGGCAGTAGCTGTTCCTTGTCAAAGATGCATAGAATGTAGTGGAGGAAAATGGGACAAATGGTTGAGTGAAGATGAATAGTTGAATTAGAGAAAATAAAACAGTGTTCCCGTTGCAGGAAGTAGTAAGTGATTAACTGTGAGATAGCATCGTGTGTGGTGGTGGTGCTCAGTGCACACTTCCTCTGGCAAAGGGGGACCGATAACTGTGGCAGTAATGTCTAGGGGGTCTCGGTTCCTTCCTGCTGTGCCTTCCAGCTCCTGCTTTCAAGACCACTCAAATCTGGTGTGAGAGGACAGAGGACTGAGCCAGCTGTGTTTCTTCTCAAGCTGCTCCTCAGGGTGCTGGTGAGAGTAGTGTCCCCTGTGCAAGTGGCTGGGAGAGGCTGGGTGTCCCATGAAGGTTGCTGCGGCTGCGTCCCCAGGAGTAGCAGTGGCTTCTGCCACCCCAGGCAAGCCTTGGTGGTGCTGTGGGTGCGACCTGTCTGCAGCTGTGGTTAGCAAGGGCGAGGATAGGTGTGTAAACTCTTTACATCTTAAAGCTACTCCTCTCTTTTGATCCAAAAAGACAAAATTCAGGATATTCTAGGGAGGAGGTAGCAGTTGGTGACGGAGGGAGGTATTTTTTTCATGCTATGCTATTTTATTTACAAACTTCTGACTTCCTGAACGTGGGAGGAGGCAAACAAAAAGCTGGACTCGGAATGCTGTCCTTGGGGGTTTTCTTAGGATGGCGTGCCAGTCCTGATGGTGCTGCCGGGCTGTGTGAACCGTCTGCCTTGTCTACCGTCTTTTTCCTCCTGTGTGCATCTCATCCCCAAGCCCTCCACAGTGGGCTTCTCTCCTCCCTTCTGCCAGTATCCCCACTTAGCATCACTAATGCCTGTGGAGGGAGCGCAGCCCCTCAAATGACCTGGTAGTCTAGGACCCCGTGTCACTTGGTGGGGTGGCAGCCCTCTGGCCACCACTGCATCCCTCTGCAGCCCTTTGCCTTGCTCTTGGCAGCAGTAGCGGGAGCCTGGAGTGTCTTTTCTTCTTCGTCTCTTAACTGAAAGGAGCAGTTGACTTTCTCAATTTGGAAGAAATTTGCTGTATTATCTAACCTTTAAAATGTTGTTTTAACAAGAAACAAGGAATAAAGCCTTGACATCTTTTGTGACACCTCTTTGCTGGGACTGCATTTGCCCCTGGCTGCCTGTATTCTTTGGGTTGATTGGGGGTGTGGGTGAAGATTTGAACTTTTCTGTGTAACTCTCTCATAAAACCTTATGTGTATCTGTGTTTCTCAGTCCTTATATTTGTGAAAGATAACTCCCAGCTTCTAAGTTTAGTGCATTACAACATTTCCTGCCAGTGGCTGGGTTGGGAGGAGTCCCATTAACACCTTTCAGAAGTATGCGGTAGGGCAGTAGAAAGTCTTGACTTTTTAATGATTTTGAATGAATTCTTATTTCCAGTTGGATATAAAAAAATCCGTTTCTAAAACTGAGGCAGATCTGAGTAATGAGCTTTTTGTTCTGCTTGCTCTCCTCCTTCCGAACTCTCTTCCCTATCTGCTCACTTCTGGGGACCAAAAAAAAAAAATGTGCAAGGTGACATTTTCAGGCAATCCAGTGATGAGGAAATAAACGATAAACGTTTTTATCCCCAAGTTCTGTCCCAGGAGCACAGTGTGCTGCACCGTCCTGGCCGTTGGTGAAATATCACTATTATTTTTGGGGGGTTGGACTAGATGATCTCCAGATCAAAGCCTTGGCAGCCCCAGACCTTCCTGCAGGTCCCCTCTGCCCAGCGGTGAGGTGTCCCCCTGTGCCCGCAGCCATGCGGCCAGTCCACCAACACAGCTCCGGTGCCAGGCTTACTGCTGTTACCTTGCCAGGAGAACACATGCCACACGAAATGGCACCAATAAGGGCAGACAGCATTTAGCATTGGCAGCATTTTATAACTAAATTTCCTGACCAAACTTATTACAGACAGTTAAATCATATGTGATGTTTTCTTGGCGTGTATGATTAATTTCTGGTGTTCTGAAGGACAAAGCAGAGTGGGGAGAGCCCACAGGTATAAAGAACAGCTGTAGATAAGATTGTTTATTTCTTTTTAAAGTAACAAGCTCTTTGAAGGGCAGTGCGAGCTTGTTTGGTGTCAGCGTGAGGACACCTCAAGGGTAGAATTTTATTTCTGTCTTGTAAAACCCACCAATAATTGTTTCATTTCTTCTTATTGTCCAGAAGCCCCTGTGCTACTTTTGAAATCTGAAATTTACTAGCCTAATTTTCCTGATAAGTTAAATTTTTCATTCTGTTTTTATTTCTGATTTTTAGACAAGGGCTTGAGTTATTCTGAAACCACAACCTTGTAACATTAGAAGATTAGAGCCTTTGAAGTATCTGTGTAAACCCTGATGTTCACACTGGAACTGAACAATGCTTTGAGCTGTTTGCATGTAGGATCATTTTCAGATCTCATCCAAATATTCTGGTTTTTTAACTAAGCATCAAAAAGCCCCCACTGAGATTCTTCCTATCTCCCATCAGTTATAGTATCTGAATTAGGGAGTAGTGGATGTAAGAGGAAAAGTTAAGACCCGGGTCAGTTTATGATTTGATATCAGAGGATTAAACAGACCAGCTTTTAGAAGCAACTGTCCTATCAAATTTGTAATTATTCCAGTATGAATATGTCAATAAAACACTTTAATGATGAGTAGTTTTATTGTCCTAACCCTGGGTATTTAAAATTAGTAAAATATCACTCAAATAAAGAAATTATTTCCTTTAATATTCTATTTTGATAGTAACATTTGTCATTTAAATATTTAATTTTTAAATCTATTTTCTGATGTTTTAGACTATGCATTTTATATAGTTATGTTTTTTTAGTCATAAAACAAAAGTAGTTGCTTAAAAAAAAATATCTTTTGCTAAGATACACAGTATAGAGCAATCCTTACCTGTAGATCGTCAGTCTTTGGTGGCATAGCTTGAGGCTGTTCCGTGTCTGAGACTGATAGGTGTGGGAGTGCGTCTGCCTGTCGTTTCTCTATTTATTTACAGTTATGACTGCTCATTTGTGTTCTAAGTAATTTGTGGTTTGCGTAACGCATAGATGATTTCCTTTTCACCTTAATTTGTCAATTAAAAAAAAGGTATTACAGTGGTAGTTATTTAAAAATTAAAAGAGAATGTTTGAGAGAACTGGTAAGGTACAGAAACATGTAATGAACAGGCAGAGTCTTTCATCTGGAAAGAAGTACAGAATTGCATGTGTGGTCCCTCTTCAGCTATGAAACAGATTTACAGAATAAACCCTTTATAACTGCCTTATAATGTCAAACACCGTAAAACCAGCGTATTCTGTTACTTACTGGCTGGAGTGCAGTCTTCTATCTGCTCTGCTTTACCCATGTGCTGCTCCTGCACGGCTGGATCGGCTTTAGTTCTCTGGGCAACTGCTTTGCAGTTTTATGTTCATTATCTGCTCCCGCAGTGATAGTGGTTCAGGGTGTGCTGTATCTCCCCAAGCAGAAGGTCGAAGAGCTGGTGAGTCGTGCCTCGCCGCTGGGCCAAATGTGGTTGAGATCTCAAGTGCTGCAGATGGTCGGGGCTATTTTCGTGTGCTCACACGTTAACTCCATGAAGATCAGCATTGAACTGGTTTCAAGAAAGACACATTTGTGCAGTTGGCAAAGAAGTAAGCAATCTTAAGTTAAAGGCTGGTGTTTTCTTTTCTTGAACTGTTCCCAGGCCTAGCTGTGACCTTTTCTGTAAAGTTTACTACTTTGATAGTTTCTGCTTTTGTTACTAGGGGTGTTCTGAGCTGGAGTGCACAGGGCTGCATTGGAGTTGCTCAGGGCATGCTCAGAGGCTGAGACACGTATTCTGGGGACAACTGATGAATCTTTGGTGTATAGCTTTTTTCTTTTTCTTTCTTTTTTCTTTTTCTTTTCCATTTTTTCTCCTTTTTTTTTTTTTTTAACCTTAATAACCTGTCTGTCTTTCTCCCTTCCTGTTTTTCCCATATGTTTACCACGAGGCTTTGAAATCAAGCACAAAATTAGTGGAAATGTATGGTAATGGAAAAGCTAATATCTCTTCTATGAATCTCAGAAACTATTATAATATGAGAGACATCTGAAGTTTGGAGAGATAAACTGAGATTTATATGTTTATTTAAAAAGAACTGAGATACATAAGTTGTGTGCATTAGTGTTAATAAGAATTCAGTACATTATTTGAATATGCTTTACAGTGTGTAACCCAAACCCTCTGTTAAATACACAATTTCCTCATGGACTTTCCTCCTAGTAGTGTTTATCACCTTAAAAGAAGGGGCCCAAAGGAATAGACAAACGAATGTACGTTCTGCTGATGCATTGCTGCCAATGTATTCATCCTTTACTTGGAGCCAGTGCTGTTAACCTGAACCTGTAGTCCCTTCCTTCCACCAAATTTCATTGAATCTTTCCTGGTGAAATAAAGGGAGTATCTTCAGAGGCAAAATTATCTTTACATTACTGTGAGTATTCTTGCCCCTGTCTTATTTCTGAGACTCCCAGATCAAAGCCAATAATGCTCAATTTTTCATTGCTTTTGGGTGATGAGTTTGGACCGTCATACAAAGTTTTTAGACCTGCCTTAGATTCTGTTTCCGTGGCAGGATGAGTGTTCAGCCTTTCTGGGAGTCTGAGTCCGAGCTCTTTGGATCTGGTAGGCAGGTGCTGTGATGTAGAAGTTTGGTTTCAGTTACTTTCTTGGGTGTCAGAGACAGGGCAACATTCTGGTTCCCTTTCAGCTGCCTGACACTGGGTTCCTTCCTCTTTGGGCAGTCTCCCCAAGCTGTGGCAGCTCATGGGGGTTCCTGCTGATAACAGCCTCCCTTGATCACAGCCTGCTTTGCTGCCTCTGCTTCTGTGGCCCCCCTTGCACTGCGTCTGCCCTGTGGGCTGTAGCATTAGGATTCATGTCCAGTGGACCTTGTGTGTCACACCTCACACTGTCAGCCTTTGGTTTTAAGCAGATTGAAGGAAATCTCTCCGCCTTAAAGAGTCATAGCTCTTCCTGTGCCTCAGGAGAAGAGAGGGTTAAACTTTTAACTGAGGAAGAAGTGGTGAGTGCCAGAGGTTGCATGTTTTAATCTTCCTCCTGAGCTACAGGGACATGCTCCCAGCATCTGAGGAAGGCTTAGAGGGGAGCACTTGCATGTCTCTTTGCCCTTTTATCCCTGCCCTGCACCCATCTCAGGAGCACAGCCCTTCCAGCACGCCTGCCCAGTGTCATCCCCAGTGCCGGCTGCTCCCTGCATGTGTGTGCACACGCCTGTGCACGTCCAGTGTCCTGGTGTGCCTACACCCCTCTCTGCTGGGGGAGGCTTGATGGAAGCCATCCTCCTGCTCTGGTCCGGTGCCAGCACAGGCGGTGAGCAGCATGGAGGAGCCCTGTTCCTTTGAGCGCTTTGTCAGGCTCAGGGGGGGTTGCCAGGGATAGCAGGGGGCTGTTGAACTGCTGTTGCTGGGATGTGTTCCTCAGCGTGTTGGTGAGGGTTTCAGGCAGGGCAGGGGACCCCGGAGAAGCCTGTTCCTTCTCCTGTTGGTTGTGGGGTATTATTTTTAGCTGAAGGATGTTTTGGAAAAATACGGATTTGGTTTCCGTTCTCATTCTTGTTCTGAATGTGGAAATCAGCTAGAGAGGAATCCCGCCTGTGAGCTGGGAGCCCAGTGTCACGCCATGAGACATGAGTTGGTGTCAGCAACTTCTTTACAGCTGGGCTTTGTGCAGGTTGGTGGTAGCCCAGGCTGTTGGCTGCACGGGGGAAACACTGCCGTTCCCAGCCTGCGCTCCGGCAGGCATCCTGCTCCGCTCCCGCTGGGATGTGGGTGCCACCATCTCCTTGAGAGCTGCCAATGTTGGGAAGTGTCCATGTTGGTGCATCTCCTGGCCACTCCCAGCCAGGGGTCCTATTCCCTGAGAAGTCCCCACTGGAGCCGGCTGCTCTGGGTTGGGCTGCGGAGTGAGGAGGCTTGTGCAATGGCAAGCCTGCCCCATTTGTCTGCCTCTGGCTGACCTTCTGCAGCTGGGGGAGGATCAGGGAGGACATTGCACAAGACTTTTCAGGTGTTCCCCAAAATGTACCCTGTCAGACAAACTTTGCACCTCTTTCCATCCACCACATTGTAATTTTTTTGAAGCAAGGATGAGAGGAATGGGTCAAATAAGGCTTTGACTGATCAAAGTGCTTCAAAAACCTCTGGCCCTCTGAGACAGTGTTTGTAATTAATTCTAAAAAAAAAAAAAAAAGTTTCCTTCTTTTTTGTTGTTTTTCCTGTCCTCAGAAACAGCAGCAGAAGCCTCAATATCCCTTTTGGGACAAAGATCAACTTTCAGAGTGTGACCCACAACAAACTTTTTCCAATAGCTTCCTCATCTAAGCCTAAAATTAAAATAAGCAATGTTCCATTTGTGTCCAGATGAAAGCCTTGCAGAAGAGGAAGAGAAGTGCAGTCTGCCAAGACAAGTGAGTTAGAAAGAGAAAAATAAAATAAAGAATAAGAGGAACTTCTTGGCAAAGCAAAATTGTCCACCAGCCTCGGTTAAATCTCTCCCTTCCAAGGGCAGTTCTCACTTTATGTGCAGCATCCCACTGTTGAAGGAAGCCATCATTCAAAGACCTAGCAAAAGGCAAAATTTGAGCAGTGAGGAGGTTGCTTAAACATTCAGAAGTTACTCTGGTTGTTTCAATCGCTTGAGTATTTAGAAAAGAGCTAAATAACCTTTTTTGCCAATCAGAACTTGAGCCTGCAGCCAACAATTTGGACTACCAGCCTTTGTGCAACAGGAAGTCCTTCCACTAGTATGACAAACTTGTCACTGAGGGACTGGGCTCTGGTAGAGTAAAATGCCATGCAACAAAAGTAGGATTCTTGTTTGAGGACTGAGTGCCTCAAAGCAAACTGGCAGTGAAGTCCAAGCACAGCCCAGGCTGGTAGGTGGTTCTCCAGGTTTCTTTCAGCTTTAATTGCCAATGCAGAATCATAGAATCATATTATGGTTTGGGTTGGAAGGGACCTTGAAGACCATGTAGTTCCACCATGTAGTTCCAGACACCTACCACTAGGCTAGGTTTCTCAAAGCCCCATCCAGCCTGGTCTTGAACACCTCCAGGGATGGGGCATCCACAGCTTCTCTGGGCAACCTGTGCCAGTGTCTCACCACCCTCACAATCAAGAATTTCTTCCTCATAGCTAATCTAAATCTTCCCTCTTTCAGTTTAAAGCCACCACCCCTTGTCCTATCACTATGCTCCCTGATAATGGGTAACTTTATTCAACATTCTTCTCCACACCTTTCTGCCCGGCTGTTTTCCAAAGGCACCGACACACAGCCTGCTTTCCCCAGTCTCCTTTGAACAGCAGTAACAGAAGCAGGGCTTTTACCCTCTGTTTCTACTTGAAAAGAAGCTTAGAAGGTGTTTACAAAGCAGATCTAAGAAGACATCAGCATTTCCAAGGGAGACTGTGAGCCTGTTACTGCAGCAGACTTGTTGCAGAAGGGTGGAAGGTGTTACGCTGCAGCAGCCCCTGCTGCTGTAGTTACACTGCAGGGGCCTTTTGTTTCACAGGCAAAGTGAGAAGGAAGCACCGTTTTTTAATATGTTATTTCTACCCCCAAATTTTTTATTTTCCAGTTTCCCCAAAGTGCCCCAAAACCACCTATGGGCTTTCCATCGGCAGAGAGATGGCTGTGCACCATATTCGACCTGAAGGTAGTGATGGTGATGTAGAAGTGGGACTCCTGCCAGAAGAGTTGCTTGGGTTTCTGGAGATGGCTCTTCCATTTCAACACGTCTGGGGCTCATTAATGTTACTTGTATGTGTGTTTGAGAACCGAAGTCTCTTCTGCAAGATCTGCATTACCAATGTTAGAGAATCTCAGGCTTACTGTAGGTGTGCTCTGGCCAGGCCAGGAGATGTCGATACACTGAGCCGTGCCCTGCTTCTGGTTACAAAAAGCTTAAAGTAGATCTAGCTCTTCTGTACAGGGCAGAGCAATTTCTCTTTTACATTTTTCTGGAACATAGTGTTCCTTCTTGTGGTGGTTAGCTGGCTTACAGTCCAATGATAGGCCTTCATCCCTGAATGACTCAGTAATTTGGTATTTTTAGAACCATAAAGTAGACTTCTCCTAGCTAACTAAGGTGGATGTGAGCAGAGGCAGGTGATCTGGAGTGCTTGCGCTGGCCTCGCAGTGATCCTGCCTCGGGGAAGGCAGGGCTCACACCCGACCGTCCTGTCCTGACGCAGGTGAGCTCCCTGGTTCTGCAGAGCAGGAACTGCCCTTTCCCTCTTCGTGGTCCCATCCCAGGATTGGTTTTCAGTGCAGTCTCACTGCTGTGGTTAGAGGGAGAAATGT